GTACACTCTCTTCCTCTCTTTCCTCCATTCTCTCCGACTCTCTATCCTCTAAAAAACCAAGTACTCTCTTCTTCTCTCTCCTCCATTCTCTCCTATTCTCTATCTATATGTAGGGTATCTGTCCCTCTTCACCTCTCTGTATCCCCCTCTCTCTCTCTCTCTCTGGCATCTCTCCTTCTTTGTCTCTCTCTCGCTCTCTTTTCACCTCTCTATCACTCTATTTTTCTCTCTCTAGGGCATCTCTCTCTCCAAAATGCCAAATCCCTCACAAACCTCCCTCGGTCTCTCTCTTTATTTTCGATTACAAATCCCCTAATTTGAATCTCTTGGACATCTTCGATTTCGATTTGTTGTTTATGTTTGAATTTCTATTTTTTTTCCTGGCATCTCATCAATTTTTTTTTTTGGGTTTCTCAAATTACATGGTTTTGAGCTAATTTATTTTATGTTACTCCATCTTGATCAGCATTTATGTTCTTCCCCCACAATCAAATATTTTTTGATTTGAATAACAGTTTTCTGATTTTACTATTAGCTTGTCAATGTTTTTCTCAACTTGGTTTAGGTAGGCTTCAACAATTTTTTCTCAGAAGAATTCCACCTTTTTAAAATGGGAAATTATCGTTAATATACCTATATTTTAATAAAATCAGCAAAAAAAACTTCAACTTTTTCAAAACCTTGCCTACACCTTTTTTTTTCAATGTTTTGCTTTTTTTTTTTTGCCAAAATACCCGTTACGGTAGTTTTTTTACCATAATGAACATTACGGTAATTTAATTACCGTAATAAGTTGAAGGAGTATTACAACAATTAAAATACCGAAATACCTTAAAGTAATATTACAGTAATTTAATTACCGTAATAATATTATGATAATTTAGATACGGAAATACTCATTATGGTAATTAAAATACCGTAATACCTTACAGTAGTATTACAGTAATTTAATTACCGTAATATCGCCCAACCCTCAATACAAAGGATTTTCTACTATCTCGAGTCTACTATCTATTTACTCCCTTGACAAAAATCCATGCTAGCTGTATTTTTCAAATCTCAAATTTTTAGGATATAATCTCTACTTAATTTTTATATAGTTCTCAAAATTTTATAACAAAAACACTCTTAAATAAGTGTTTTTGAGCGAGGGAATAGATCCACATCGTGCTCTCTTGGCAACATATATTTTTTGAAAAGAAAGAGGGGTAACCATGATATTATATTCGGTTTGAAGCTTTTCAACCTATAGGAGGTTGGAAGTAACGGGGAAAGAATTATGGTAATAAGAAAACCGTAAAGACTTCCCACACATTAGGGTAATTAAATTACCATATTAGTTCAAATTATGGTCAAGACTTTCCACCCTCCATTGTTTGAAATGTTTTAAACCGAAGCTAATATCAAGGCTGCCACTCACTCTTTTAAAAAAATCCATGTTCTAATGGGAGCACAATGTGGATCTACTCCCTTGCTCAAAAACACATATTTAAAAGTGTTTTTGTTCTAAAATTTTGAGAATCATATAAAAATTAAGTAGATATTATATCTTAAAAATTTGAGATTTGAAAACTACAGCTAGCATGAATTTTTGTCGAGAGAGTAAATAGATAGTAGTCTCGAGAGAGTATAAAATCCTTTGTTATAAGGCTTGGACAATATTACGGTAATTAAATTACAGTAATACTACTTTAAGCTATTATGCCATTTTAATTACCGTAATCAATATTACGGTAATTAAATTTTTGTAATGTTCATTACGGTAAAAAAACTACCGCAAATGGTATTTTCGTCCTTAAAAAGCTAAAAATTGAGAGAAAAAAAAGGTGTAGGCGAGGTTTTGAAAAGTCGAAAAATTTTTTTTTTCTTCTTGATTTTATTAAAATATAAGTATATTAACTATAATTTCCCTTTAAAAATCATGGCTATCAATCCACCTTCCCTATATATATCAAAGTAGAAAGTTGTAAAGGTTCCACAAAATATGTTTAGATTCTAAATATAAGAACTTTGGAAGATATTCATCTAATACGACTTTAAAAAAGACTTATGGTTGACACTAGTGTTTGACATGTGTAGTTTGTGGATTTTATTAATACGATAAAGTATTAAAAAAGTAGGAAATAAGAGAAAAGTTGAAAGCATGGGTACGTAGAGGGAACAACAAAATTGCTAAAGAATCAATTACAAAAAGAGAGCAAACATATGAGTGCCAAATGGCACGTGCTACTTACACTAAATGGGCGGAGGGAATTTAGTATTATATCACACAATCGAACAAATGGTGGACATGCCAAAAAGCTAAAATAGATAGCGTTAAAAAATTTACAAATATTGGTTTAAACAATTAAAATATATGCTTTTCAAATTCATGTTCAACATTTTCAAACCCATCTCTAAAATGCATTTCGAAAAGGAGACGCATCTAAATAAATTAGATAAAAACTGGTATAAAGAGGGTGAGGACTTTAAACTTTCCCTTAAGCCATCACAAGCACAAGCAAGGGTATGGTGGTGGGTTTGATAAGATAGGCAGCCAATATAAAATTTTGCCAAACTTATCTTAATAGGCTCATCAAACTTTATCCAATAGTTAACGTATGGTTGTAGTGCTTTAAAAACGTAACTCATATCTCACCATAAATTACTGTTTTGGTATCAGAAGAGTATCATATTGATTACCTCATCTACACATTTGTGGATATAAAAAAAGAATATATTTCATATACTAAAAATAATGTATCTTGTAACATATTATTTGGACCGTCTATTTTGAAATATTCATGCATATACCGAATCTGCATTATTTTCAAGCTTCAAGTTTCGGAATAAAAGGAAAAAATAGATTATCAAACAATTATAGTGTTTTGGTGCATAATAGCAAGTCGGGAAATAATAAAATATCGTCCGTCCAAAACATCGGTAATAAATCAATTTTATTTCAAAAAGTCGGAGAAAAAAATTGGGTAAAAAATACGGATCACCAAAAAATAAGGTAAGTTATAGAATTGTGAATATTTAGGATTTGGTAAAAAAAAAGTAGTGAAAAATCGGATATGTATAGATGACACAATATAGAATCATGATTTGTAGCTATTGTATAGAGATATTAAAGCCGTTAAAAATTTATTTTATAGCCCTACTAGTGTCATTAGAGTAAGATTTAATAATTTTTTGTTGAAACTTTCAATAAATCCAACAATAATGTTTACTATGTTGTCATATCACAAAACATATGGTATGTTTATTGGGAACATAAAATGAAATAACAACAACAATACTAAACACTAATTTGCAAATAACAAGAACTGTGAACCAAAATATAGGATTATCTTTCAAATAAAATTAAAAATCCCCCAATATGGGATTGCAGTTAATTGAAAGAAAACACAAAGACCAAAATATGTAAAACAGCGGTCCATCCAAAATGCTATGTTGTCTGCACCAATGAAATGAAAAATAAAATATAAAGTATAAAATTAATCTAATTTATCTATGCATAAAAAAGCAACAAAATGATTAAGCAAATTCAAATCTCGCAATAAATTCCTCGCTACTTAAATATTTAGTATCATTGGATCTCTCTCTTGCTCTTTATGATGATGCAATGGGTTTAAAGAAAAAAAAAAAAAAGATTTTTCATTGGGTTACTCTTCTTCTAATTTGACCTACTATACTTTGTTTGGGGAATATATTGCTTGTATTTTTTTTTATACTTTTTTTAAGGGAACTCATTGTTGAAATTTTTGATAGATTTTTTTTGTTAAATAAATATTTTTTATTTACTCTCATTGTTAGTATACTTATCTTAAAACCAAAATTCAATAGTATTAAATTAATAAAAAAAATATAAGGAGGAAGTTTTTTTTCAAATGTTTTGTTGAAAAAAGATAAAATATGGATTCCTATCGGTTCTATTAAAAAAATACAATTTTTTGAAATCTTTTGAAAAACTCAGATTTCTAAATAGATTTTGAAAAAATCAGATTTCTAAATAGATTTTGGTGCCCCAATATCGCATTTATTAATAAGATTTTTACAAGCGATTTCGTTTTTAATTCCAGAGACCATTTCTAAAGAAGGGCAGAGACGCATTATTAGCCAAAGCTTCATAAACACAAACCAGGAGAGAAGCATTCATATAACTACAAATAAACACATAAGGACACAGATTATATAAAGTTGTAACCTTATATTATAGAAATAAGGTGCATCTTAAAAACACTGTCGAAAAGAGGGATATGAAGTTAGAAAACCTTCCAATTAATCATCTTTAGTTATAAAAAAAATAAATTAAAGTCTTAAAAATTGTTCATCTTGTATGAACTATTTGTACTATCTATTTTCAAGATTTTGAAGTATTTATAGATGTGCAATATTTGTACTATTTTTAGAATTTTAAATTTCACAATGTAGATTTTCAAGTCATTGTAATGTTTTCAACGTTCAAGAAACAAAAAGTTTTTCAACACCAGGACCACGTCTTCCGACAAAAAATAGAAGTGTGGCTTACTTATATAGTAAACAGTTTGGTTTATGCAAGGTTGCAACCTTAAAAAATCAAATTAAGGTACACCTCACAACTCTGTCTTAAGATGCAATTTTGGTGTCAAAAGATTTTCAGATGACGTGAGAATCTATTTCTATGTTTAATTATAAATTTACAAAATAGTTAAAATCAAGCAGATCTATAAACGTATGAAAATCTTAAAAATAAACCGATCAAATAATATGTTACAAGATGCATTATTTTTAAGACTCGAAATCTTTTTTTTTTTATTTTCATATATCTCGATGATCAATTACTAGGTTTTCCAACGACAAAAGAGCCCTTACTGATGGATATTTTAGGTGCACCTTAATTTAAGGTTACAACCTCATATAAACTTTTTGCAATGTGGGCACCTTATATAGAAAATAAGATGTAGACAAATCGACCCCAAGTCTGATGTTTTAAATTTCCATCTCCCACACTGGTGTGAAAAAGAGAAAGTGAGCCAAGTCAAGTCATGCCAAGTGAGCCACTTTTTGTGCTCTTTCCATTTCATTTTCAACTTCAAATGGCCCTCAGCCTTCAATCTCAACTATTCAAACTTCAAAGTTTCAAACAGTGATGGACCGGACGGCTCTTCGGGTTCACCGGTCGGATTCTATTGAAGTGGAAGGAAAAGGGACTGGATTCGAGACTTAGAGGCGGAGACTTCTACTCCTGTTTCTTTTGTGGGTTTCCAAAAACAAAATTGCCTTGTAAATGGGGGGAAAGAAAACATATGGATTATCTCCATATTTAGAAGAAATTTACACGATCTTTCAGGTTTTTGACTGTTGCCATGGCTCAAAAGTCCACCCCCCATATAAAATCATGGGTCATGGGCCATCATGACCATGAAACATGATGGTGATGATGATGGGTTTTAGTAATAGCAGTAGCAGTAGTGGTTGATTCATGAGCACCAACCCCAATCATTCAAAAAACAAACAAAAACTCACAGTCTGCTGTTTTCTCATTCTTGGTCACCCCCCATTTCTCTCTCTCTTGAAATTTGAAAACCCAATAATATAAAAGACCTCCCTTTCTGTCTGTGTGTTGATTTAAGCAGCAGGGAGCTGAGCAGTTTGCCTCATTTGGGTCCTCTCTCTACTCTGCAAGCTCCCCCTGGTTACCCCATTTTGGAAAAGTTTGTTTCTCTCTCATCAAACCCAGTTTGATTTCCCCATTGTTTTTAAGTCTGGCTTTTCACTTTTTCCCTTCTTTCCAGCTCTCCAATCGCAGGTGGGTTTTACATAGTGTTGGGTACTCACCAGTAATCTTCATTCTCAGCCTCTCTCTCTCTCTCTCCATTGGTCGGGTTTCTCCTTTTGGATGTTTTCCCAGATCTAATCCTATCTGCTCCAGCAAGGGCTTTGAGCAAGTTGGAGACTTTTTACACAAGGTCAGAAGGTTACTGTTATTTGCTTTATCATTTGTTAATTCATTTATTCATGCTTGTTACAGTAGATTCACACAAGGGAATGGATATGGGGGGTTTAGGTTTCATTGCTTTTTCTTATTCAGTCTATATGTGCAGTTCTACTGTGGGCTCTGATGATTTGGTTTAGATTCTAGGAGATGCATATCAACCGGATAAACCCTAGGGTTGAGGGCTTCTCGGGGTGGGTGTTCCAATTAAGTTTCTTCTTGTTATACCTGGTTATGGTTGAAAAAAACAGAATCCCTTGTAGTTTCTTTTCAAAGAGGTACAACAAATTGTTGAGAGATATTTTGTTAAGTATTCAAGTGGCGTTTCTTTAGCTTTTCACAATATGGGAAACAGTACTTCTCGAGTGGTTGGGTGCTTTGTACCAGTGGGAAACAGCAAAGAAGGGGTTGATTTAGATTTCTTAGAGCCTTTGGATGAAGGATTAGGCCATTCATTCTGTTATGTTAGGCCTGTTAGTGAGTCCTCTGCAATAACTCCTTCTAATTCAGAGAGGTTCACTTTGGATTCGAGTACCTTTGATTCCGATACCCGTTCTTGTTCTTTTCGACAAGAGATTGTCGAAGATCCAAATTTGCAAAAACCCAGTAAGAATTTTCCTGAAACCACCTTCAAAACCATATCTGGGGCCTCTGTGAGTGCCAATTCCTCAACGGCGAGGACTGTTACATCTTATGACCACCATTGCACATTGTTTGCTAGTGACCCACATGATCGAGCTGCATCATTTGAGGGCACTGCCTCATTTAGCGCACTCCCTCTACAACCAGTGCCTCGAGGATCAGCCCAACATTCTGGCTCAGTCTCGGGTTCCTTAAATGGCTTCTTGTCTGGCCCTTTAGAGAGAGGTTTGGGCTCTGGACCACTAGACAGAGGAAGTGGGTTTATGTCTGGGCCTCTTGAGAAAGGAATGTTCATGTCTGGTCCTTTAGAAAACACTGATAAAACCAACTTCTCAGCACCTCTCTCGTATGATCGAAGAAGGGCTATTTTAGGTCGTCTAGTGAGAAGTGTGAGCAAACCCATGAAAACCGCTCTCTATCGAACTCTTTCGAGACCTAGGTCAGGTTGGATGCATCGGTTGCTTTGGGACCCTGTCACCCAATTTATATGGAACGCTAAGGAAGGAAAATATCGACCTGAAGAACCAGTTGGGTCTTCAGAAGGTGAACATGGTAGCAGCCGAAACCTTCAGTGGGCTCATGGGAAGGCAGGTGAGGATAGGGTTCATGTTGTGCTCTCTGAGGAGCATGGTTGGTTGTTCGTTGGCATCTATGATGGTTTTAATGGGCCTGACGCTCCTGATTTTCTCATGAGTCATCTTTATAAGGCCATTGATAAAGAATTAGAGGGCGTGCTCTGGGATTATGATGATAATCCCTGTAGAAACCCACCAGAATCTGGAGAGGTTGCAAGTGCCTGTCAAGATGTCGGGGTATTTTCAAATTGCGAGAAAGAGAACGAACCTAGTTCCTTGCCATTTGAAATGGAAGAATGTCAAGGTCAAGAAGAAATCCATTGTGTTTCTTTAGAACCTGCCATGGATCAAAGCGAAGAGTTGCCAAGGGTAGTAAAGGACTCATCCAATGAAATGGCAGGAGTTCTGCTTGATGGTGCTGATGAAATGGGAAAATTGGCAAACTCAGATGGAAACTCTGTGGAGGATATGCAGAAACCACAGGAAGTTGAAATTGTGGAGGTCAGGGAAGATGAAAGCACCAGCATAAAGCAGTTTTCAGAACAAGTTCCCTCAACAAAGATGTTAGGTCATGGCCGTAAAAGCAAACGCCTTTATGAGTTGCTAAGGGAGGAGGACTTGCGAGAATCTATTGGAGACTTGCATGCTAGAGAAAACTTACCTACAGCACAGGCTCCATTAACCAGCGATGCTGAAGCTCTCAAGTGTCCACATGGGGATTTAAGAGAAGGGGGAGGAGCACTTGGGGTACAAGAATCAGATCAAGACAATATCAGGGTTACTTTATCAGTGGTGGGTGACAGACAGAAGTCAGTTATTGGATCAAAACTGACGAGATTGTATAGGAAACAGAAAGAAATGCGTAAAAAGCTGTTTCGTTGGAGTTATGATTGGGATAGGGAACAAATCCAAGTTACCAAAAAACCAGCTGAACCATTGGCCATACCAAGTAGGCGTTGTAAAGCTGGTGAGGTTGACCATGAAGCAGTTTTGAGAGCCTTGGCTAGGGCACTGGAAATAACAGAAGAAGCATACATGGAAATGGTAGAGAACGTACTTGATGTGAACCCTGAGCTTGTACTAATGGGTTCCTGTGTGTTAGTAATGTTAATGAAGGACCAAGATGTTTATGTCATGAATCTTGGGGATAGTCGAGCTGTTTTGTCACAAGAGAGGCTTAATGACCGACATGTAGAGGATCCGAGACATAAAGCTCGGTCTAGAGATGCTCTTGTCCGAGTGGAATTGGACAGGATTTCTGAGGAGTCCCCTATGCATAGTGAGATCAGTCATGTGAGCAGGACCAACAAAAACAGGGATATCAATATCTGCAGATTGAAAATGAGAGCATTTCAGCTGTCCATCGACCACAGCACAAGTGTTGAGGAGGTAAGAACTAGTAGCCATCTTTTTTATTATATAATTAAAAGACTCCATATTGTAAATTGTTACTAGGAGTAGTTTGATTGCCTACTATATACTTCTATTGCCTCGTTGTATGTTTTTAATGGCGAGCAAGTTCTATTATCATTTGTAGTTGTGGCAATCTGTATAGGAAAGTTTTCTTTTTTTTGGTATCTTTATCAATGTAAAAATGTACCATATTTTGGTTTTTACAAGTTGATGGAAAGTGCTAATATATAGATGTATGAGTGGTGATTAAATCGCAGTAAGCACTTTCCCAATATATCATGCAATGCCGATGAGATTTGTTATGGGAGTTGAATGGAAATGCATCATGAAAATGGGATGAAACCTTCCCTATTTATCTTGTTCAGTAAAGACTGGTTTTAAAAGTGCAGGTACACTGGAAGAGTGCATCTCTGGAAACAGTTTTCTAGCTGATCCTTCCAGATGGATAATCTTTCAAGGTTCCTGTTTCTTAGTCTCTGGACTTTGGAGAAATCTATTTTAACCCTGTTTTCTTATCAATAATGTAGTCTAGCCTGGTTGCCCCTGGTTTTATTATCGTTTTTGTAGTTTATGTTGGTTCCTTGTTTTCTTCTTGGGTAATTTGTATTTCTATGTACTAGGTAATTCAAGTATATTTTAGCAAGCATATATCTCCTTTTCATGTTCTTGTGTATTTCACTATTAGTACTACATAATTCACTTCAAAAGATATTTGAAATCTTCTGTGCTTTTTGATCTATTTGGTGATTGTACTGAAAACTTGACTCACTGCTTGCTGCTTTTGTTGGGAATTCTTGGAGTGGTTGACCGGTTGTTTTATATTCTAGTACATTGAGTTCAGAGGAAGCTGCATTCTGTCTACATTTGTGACACACTCTTGCTCAAATCGTATCAGCTTTCTGAAGAATGTTACGGAAATAGTGCATTTTATTTTTATTTGATTGAATGGATTGTATGTTATCTTGTTAGTAGTTAAGTTCATTGTAAAACTTCTAGTGGCTGTCCTGATCAGTTCAGGCTATGATCAAGCCGATTCACTTAGCTTTTTCTCTTTGATGGACCTGTCGATGAATTCTGATTGATCACTTTGGTTGAACACACCACATCTGTTTCTGGTCAAGTGATTTGTGCAAGAGGAACACTTGGTGATAATTATGCACAAGAATATGAATTTTTGATAATGATAATGATAGTGGACACCATCCTGACAGTGTTACCCCAGCTTACAAGTAGCTTAATATCAGAATTAGTCTCAATGCGAGCCAATTGAAATGCAATTTATGTGACTTTTGAGATATCACAATTCTCTTCCATGATATCATCAGTCCTTGACAGGATGCAAACTGACCCATTTTACAAGATTTAGTGAGTACCCCTTGGTGAAAAGCAATCCTCAGCTTCCATCCAGTTGGGCCTATAACTTCTGTGTGCTACCTCCTTGTCACATCTTTTACAACCTAGACCATCCTTTCATTCTCAAGCCTAGGTTACTCTTCAATCCGGTGTTGAGGCTTTCCTTTTGGGACTCCAATAAGAAGACCATGCCGTCTTTCATTTGCTGAAAATTCTCTTTTCTGGCAAAACATTCAACTCCACAAGTATAGCTGAACAGTTCATCATCTTTCAATTTGGGTAGATCAGAGTGGAACATCTCTGTTATGCCATCTACTGCCACCTTCCTACCCACTGAAGATCCTAATTTTTCTCCCTTGTAATATTCCCCAAAGGACATACAGCCTAACCATTTAGAATATACTGGCCTCTTATGAAAGCTACTTGTTTAAAAGAAATATGAACTTTCTCTGCTTTATGTGGGTCATCTGTATGTGAAACCATTTCTGCTGCTTTGTTAATGTGGAATTGTAAATTATCTGTTAATTTTAAAGTTCCCACCCCAACTTCATTTTAAGATACTTGGAATTCTAACCCCTCTTGCATTTGGACTTGTATTCCACTTTTTGAGGGAATCAATTAACTAGAAGACTTAGATTGCATGCAGGTATGACAACTTCTTCAATAATTGACGAAGGTGTAAGTATAATAAGTGGTAGGGCAAAATGATGCAATAATTTATGGTTCTGTTCCTTTTTTTTCTTTACAAAAAAAGCTTCCACTAAAAAAAAGTCCTTAAAAAGTGGCCCTGCTGAAAAAGAAGAAAGAAGCAAAACTGTAGAGGCACTATACCCTATGAACCAGACCTTTGGGAAAACATGCTTGTGTTCCTAGGTATGTAGAGTTTTCATGAACTCTGCAGTCCGCATTTACACTACTAAATCACAGTTAAAGTGCCCTCTTAGCATTTTAAAGGCCATTTAGTCCTTATTGTATACTTGGAAGGGAGCAACTGGTCTGATATTTATAAGATTGAAAATAAAGGACTGAGCTAAAATATATTGATATCTTCTATTCTTGTTTATCTGTATACTTCAATTTTGATAAACCAATGGTCTTGGTTTTGCATTTTTAAACATTGGGTAGTCTTGAGGAATCCAAACTTTTCTCATGAAGGCATTTTATGCATGGCTAATTATCAAGGCGTATATGTTGAGGCTTTCATTATTATCCTAATGATAACCTTATTTATAATTTCTGCATATGACAGGAAGTGTTAAGGGTAAAAGAGGAGCATCCTGATGACAACCGGGCTATCTTAAATAATAGAGTGAAAGGACAGTTAAAAGTTACTCGAGCATTTGGTGCAGGATATCTAAAGAAGGTTAGTTGAAATGCCTGATTACTGAAAGTTTCCATCTATAGCTTAGCCTGATTATGGATCTTGGTGATTTTCAATGTTGCTAAGTTGTTCATATTATGTTAAAAAAAGAGAGGAGGTTCATATTGTTAATTATGGTGAATAACGTGTTCATGTGTTTAGAGTCTCGTTTATCTTTTTGGCATTTTGATGATGTCTAGATGCATACTATTACTACTCTTTAAAAGCATCTTAAGATGAAATAAAAACAAAAGTCAATTTTTGACTAGAAAAAAAATTGCATGCAAATGTATCTTATGAGTACGTGTGCATGTCTATGAAGTTCACCATCCCTCTAACTTGAACAGAGATCTGAAAAATGTTAAAGAGTTTCTGCAAAGGTGATATTTTCTAGTTATGGTCTTAGTTGAAGAAACAGTTTTATGTACGAGAATGATGAATATATGATGAGGCAGGGGTGGCAATGGACCCAGACCCAATTTGGGTCCGGGTATGGGTTCAGAAATTGGATCCGGCAGGTCGAATCCGGCTCCATGTCCAGGTCCGGTAATATTTTTCAGGCCCCAATATATGAAATAGATTTAAATATAGTTAGTTCGGTAATATTTTTCAGGCCCCAATATATGAAATAGATTTAAATATAGTTAAATATATAGATATTTTAATTTTTGGGTCTGGTCCGTGTCTGACCCGACCTGACCCCTATGATGAGGTTATTGTCATGAAATGAAACAATTAGTCTATGCATTCATACTATTCTTATTGTATTAAGTACAGCTATAAAGTGACAGACAGTCAAGTTGTACATTTAGTTTACCCATATCCTAATCAGAATATGTGGATAGAGAAATGGAATCAGGAAGCTGCAGTAGGTGACTTCCATGCATGGATGAAATTCGACACATCAATATGTGAATAATGAGTCTTTCAACATTCATTAACTAATTTATTATGTGATCAATATCATAATTGTGTAGTGTTCAGTTGAGTAAAAATTACATATCCACAAGAGTAATCCAAATTTCTGGATCTGGTGTTTGCATAAGATTCCTAGGGGTGGATTGCTGCATTCAATATTGCACTTTGCTAAACTGCAAAAAGTTAAGCGGTTTGAAGTTCTCTTATCTCCCCTAAATTGAAATTAATTATTTAATTTTGTATGTTTTAATTTTGTATTTTGTTGCTGATCTTCCTTGTCAATTCACTGCCCTTAAAACGTCAAGCCTCCCATGTCATCTTTTTTCTTCCTTGTTTTATTTACTCCCCGTTAAAGCACACATATAAGTTTCTAGTTAATGAAACTAAACTAGCATAGACGATGCTCAATGATGGTCCTTGTTGGGATTAAATTAACTTTTGTCATTTAATAACTTCCCTTTCCCAAGGACGCAGGTTTTTTTACTTTGCTTCTGACTTGATGGTTGCAGCCTAAATTGAATGATGCTTTGATGGAAAGGTTTCGAATCGATTATATTGGGATCGCTCCATATCTCAGTTGCATTCCCCATGTTTGTCACCATCGCCTCTGTTCTAATGATCGCTTTCTGGTCCTCTCTTCCGATGGGCTTTATGAGTACTTCAGCAATGAAGAGGTTGTATCCCATGTTGAGTGGTTCATAGAGACTGTCCCTGATGGAGACCCTGCCCAATACCTCATTTCAGAGCTTCTCTTTCGTGCTGCAAAGAAAAATGGTTAGTAGCTGCTCTACCCTACATTTGTGGAAAGGTATATTATAGTCCACTGCTGACTGGAGTTTGGATTATCATAGTCCATTGTGGTCATCTAATTGAAAGAGAGAGAGAGATCCACTGATACAATTGTGCTGTTTTGTATTTTGTCCCACTATCCATCACAGTCCATCTTTTCATTGAAAGTTAATGGCCCTAATGGATTATGGTTTCTTCTAGTCCTGGATTGTAGTATACTTTCCAACGTTTTCCTCATTGTTGTTTATATTTCCTGCTCAAAGTGCAAAAAATTATCAATATTTTCAAAAAGAAATTATAGAGGAATACAGTCACATGCATTCATGTTCTCTCGAGGAATTAATGAAAATCTTGAGTTTTTTATTGACTTTTTTCTTTTCTAGTAAACACTGCTGTTGATTCCAATATTTCTTCAGCACTCCAAGTCCATAGGTGCTCCGTATAGAGGGAAAGCTTTTTATGTTCCCCCTACTATCCAGCCGTCCATTTTTGATCAAGAGAGCCACTCACCGTTTGATCTTAGATCCGACATCTTAAAGTATTTTATTTTTAGTTTTTTTAATACAATTTTTTTGAATATGAAATTTGGTACGTGCCATCTTCTCATTGTGGCGCACCTATAAAAAATATTAACAATAATTTTTTGATAAAAAATAATGACCGAATCCCCTTGAAATTTTCGGGGGTATTTTGGTTATTTTATTTTATTGAAAATATTTTTTTATATTTTTCGTTAGTGCGAGTTTAATATAGGAATGGACGTCCAAAATTTGGTGTCAAAACAGTTTATAGAAAAAAAATTAAGAATAAAACAGTGTAGAGACGTGACATTGTGATTGGGACAATCTTTGCCCTCCATTAAAAAATGCACAGTTGGATAAGGGGGAACATAGAACTTCTATGTTGTAGGGGGAACATAGAAAGCTTTCCCTAGTATAGAAGGCCTATATCCCGATGGCAGACGTGCTGCTTAAAGAGTAAATCCTCCATATGGGCAAGCAGCATTCTTGCGAATAAGCGAGAATTAAAGGGACTGAGATATCTACTCACAAGATACTTCTTAGTGGTGTTTGGAGACTTGGCTGAGTCCAATTGGTCTCCAAAAAACAGAAAAGTATGGATTGTTGTATGAAATGTTTATATATAATTTGGGTATCTATTGGCAAAGATTGGTTAGGTTTTTTTCTATATTCTCTATTTTATTTTCCATTTTTTGGTTTTGTTTTTTAAATGTCCCCAACTATAAATCATTTTTTTGAACATTCATTTTTTATAAAGCTTTTAGGCTTATTTGAATATTTTAGGTTTCTTTTGATTTTATTTAGCCTCTACTACTTTATCTTATTTTTAATGTTATATATGCATGTATATTAATTTTTCAAGGGCTTTTGTCCCTGTACAGTACTCGAGTGAGTCCACTCGGACTCACCCTAGTAACTCGCCTCAGGCCAGGGCCAAGTACCTGGCCCAAGGCCAGTCTGAAAACACTGCTTCTCAGTCAGGGATTTGACGCACGAACCTCATCAGTGCCATGCTGTCTCCTATATAACACCTGGCCATGAAGAGAGATTTTATATGGAGGACACCATCTCAGACTCCTATGTTCACTCGTTTCTATTCAATCATATTTCTGTATCCAGCTACATTGGAACGCCCCATTATTTATTTTCTTATTTATCCAATTTCAAATTTCAAATTTCTTCTAAATCCCAAGGTACACATATATATTAATGTCCAAGCACTTAAAGAGCCTGATTGGTTTCTTTCTTGCTGCTTAGCCTGATTGTGTGTCGGAATTTCTTGTGCATGCATGCGCATGACCATGAACATGTGTGTATTTTTCCTTTTCAAATGATCTTTTAACTGTATATCTTAGATCTCTCTCTCTGTGTGTTTTTTATGAGGGGTACATCAGGATTGTTTTGGACTGCAGGAATGGATTTTCATGAGCTGCTGGATATTCCTCATGGTGATCGCCGCAAATATCATGACGATGTTTCTGTCATGGTGGTATCCCTTGAAGGAAGGATTTGGAGATCTTCAGGTTGATTCATTATACAAGACAAGTTTTCTTTTTCATTCCTGAGCCTGTCTGTAGTTTTCCAATTTTCCAATGATTTTCATCGTTCTCTTGTTTGAGAGCTGTTGGGTCCAGCGATTCCAGAAGACCTTTTTAAAGAAGAGAAAGGGGGGAAAGAAAAAAAGAAAAGAGAGAAAAGAAAAAAAAAACATTTGCTCATAGTTATTGTTGCTCTCCCATATAGTCAATTTTGTTGTGCATTGGTTCTATACAGGGTGGGTGTAATATTCATAGCTGAAAATAAGGGGTGAATTTGGGGAAATAGTCATAATCCTTTTGTTTTGCCGTTTTTTCACTGCAGATATGCTTTTTCAGTCATTTTCTCCTTGGATCTGTATTCCTGTGTGTATAAGAGAGAGAGAGAGAGAGAGAGAGAGAGAGAGTCTAATTTAAGTTTTACTGACAATAGATGTAGTTCTTTTCGTCTATTTCTCGTTATATAGTAGTTTGTGTGTGTGAGAGAGAGA